GCGAAAATGCGAGGCGAATGTCAGATGAAAGAGAGAAGCCGATAACTAGTACATTCTAGAAACGATAAAACAAGAACCTTCCATAGCGAACAATTCGATGCTTCTACGCTTTCGTCTGCGAGCAGCCGACTGCTATATAAGGGCGACACTCAGCTGCAAGTCAAGTTAGTTACAAAGTGAACTGGTTGGCGTGAACATCAGTAAAACCGGCACGGCTCATATTTCATTGCTATACAAGGTTGCCAGTATAGCCTTTCTTAAAGTAACATTTAATAATGGAAGATAATGCGTAGTTTTATTCAAAATAAATGAAAAATAATTGCGTAACTATTTATTTGTCACCATATAGATCATGTATACTTGCCTTGTGTTTATATTCAAGCAACTAAATTATGAAATTTGTTGACGAAACTTTTGAATTTGTTCGAAAGTGTGCAAACACACAGGCAGCTGGCAACATTTCGCCGCTCTCTGCGGCGTCGATAACCCGTGTGTTTATCTCGCCTTGTTGTCGCCACTCATAGACGGCTGGTAAGTGAAATGGGTAGTTGCAGCCTTTGGCTATGAGCAACTGTATGTGCGTTAAAAAGTGAGCTTGGATGTGTTAAGAAGTGAGTTTCTCTTGGTAGGTTTATACCATGATAACAAGCCAGCCGTTGTCAGCAGCTGGTAGCGCTCATTTTGGGTTCTACTTAAATAAAGACAGAAATGATGATTTTGATTTTGCCGTGTAGAGCGCGTTATTGCGTTTGATAAGTCGCCGAATTGTTCGAATTTTATATATACAGCAAAACAGAAAAGTAAAACTTTTTTGAGTTGTTTTAAATGTTTGTGAGCCACATAATTTAAATTTTTAATTATTTGTATAGAGCCTCTCTTCAACCGCAACTTGTTTCTGTAGAAAAAGTGAAAACTTTCAATTAATTACAACGGATGATTTATGGATAATTGTGCATCTTCTGTGGTTGGTTAGAGTAGGTCATACATGCCACAAAAAATAGAAGAAGTGCAGAATACAGACCACTATGGTAGAACTAAATAAAAAAGTTGATAAGGACTGCCCTGTTTTCCTGATTTTAATAACATAATTTTATTGTGCTGTAAAGGCAAACGGGGGACTTTTCGAAAAATATAAAACGTTTTATCTTGAGAAGTTGTACACCAAATTTTATAAAATTGGTGGCATTAGAAAGGTAAGTGAAATTATTGATACCTGATGTCCATATATCAACATTTTTCGAAGCTAAGTTGGCTGAGCTTTGGTTTTCAGCCGCACTTTATATTGTAAGCAAACCACCAGATATTTCCATTTATAAGTTATTTGTTGTTAAAAATTGTTAACTTTTACCCATCATATCATATTTATTCCTTTTTGTTTTAGAAACACAAATATTACTCCGATTTGTTTAAATTTAGACGGAATGTAGCTCAAATAAATTTACAAATTTTATTATAATTAAAACATGGTTGCATACTAATCTAAAAGGTGTTGCCGTGCAGGGTAAAGTATTATATAAATTCAACAATATTCAACAAAAAATAAGAAAGGTTTTGCCGTTCCACGTAAAATAATTTGCAAATAAAAGACATTTCTCATAAAAGTATTTCACTTAAGAATACTGTGCAGGGCGAAACCGGTGTTGGTCCGCCCCAGGGTTACAATCAAAGCGAGGCCAAAGGCCGTGAGCTTCCAAAAGATTTTAAATGAATAACATTTTATCTTTGAACAAGGTTTTTATTTTATTTTCTGCATATTTATTCTTATACTAAAGTATTATTTTACTTAATAATCTGGTAGGAGCAAAATGAATGTAATTTTGCTTTTATTACTAAATATTTAAAGTAGAATTTTTAAAGAATTAATAGTTCGCCAGAAAAAAAGCAGCTTTAGAATCTAGGCGTTTTCCTCTTTCCATCCATACAATATTTAATTACGAAAGTCTGCCGACGAAAACTAAAATTTACACCTACCAGAAATAAAATAATAGCATATTCTCGGAAAGTGGAAACAAGGTCGTGAGCTTCCAAAAGATTTTAAAGGAATAACATTTTATCTCTGAGTAAGGTTTTTATTTTATTTTCTGCATATTTATTCTTATACTAAAGTTTTTTTTTTTTTTTTGCTTTTATTACTAAAAATTTAAAGTAGAATTTTTAAAGGGTGGCCTGCCCACCACCCGTGAGTGGAGCAATGCGTATGTTGCCCCGTGCTGTAGGAGTGTGCCCCCGCATGTCTCTACAAACCCTCCGCCAGTCAACACCAACCAGCTCTCGCGGGTAGTACAGCAGCAACACACACACTCCTGGCATCACTCTCTCACCATCCGAATCACGAACGTTCCCCCAAGACAGACCCGACTCCTACAATTTAAGTGTAACAGACTCCCGGGAAAGATTGACGAGATAATCGACTACATGAGCGGGGAGCACATGTCAATTGCTGCGATCCAGGAAACCAAGTTGACTAGCCGGGCCGGATACAACATAATCCGCAAGCATCGCGAGCGATATCACGGTGGGGATTTAGCGTTCATCTTGCACAACACCGTGCAGTATCGTGTTATCGATGGCGACATCGACCGCAGGGATGCTACCCTAGAATGTGAGGGCATAGCTATCCGGTCAGGCGATGTCGAGCTCAAAATATTCAATATATACATTCCTCCAGTTACAAGTTGCCAAGCAGGATACACCCCTGACATAGGTGCGCTACTCAGGGGCGAAAACCGTTCTAGCCTGTCAAACGACCATAGAGGAATGGAGCTGGTGAAACAGATTGACGATTCGACATTCTGCGCCGGATATAACAATTGCGAGTGCTGGGCTGATAAACAGTATAGTTTGGCGACCTATACTGACGTTAGCATCGGACCACTTGCCATACAAATCTCGATTGACAGGCCTCCCGGCTTTGTTTCCGCGCACCACCGGACATTTGTTAACTTCAAAAAAGCTAACTGGCCCGGCTTCACGGAATTCACTGAGAACGCCTTTAGTTCTCTTCCCACTCCATCCGACGTCACCACTGGTGAACGTTTATTTCGCAGGGTCGTCGTGACCGCTGCCGCCCGCTTCATCCCGGCAGGCCGAATTGCGGAAATCCGCTCAAATTTTCCGACAGAAGCGGGGGTATTAGCATCCAGGCGCAAAATCCTCCGAAGATCCGATCCCGGGAATCCCCTAATCAGGGACTTAAATGGGGAGATTCGAGGAGTAGTCAACAACCATAGGCGGAAAAAGTGGGAGGAACATCTAAGGACCTCCAACCTCTCCTCTGGGGTAACCAAGCTCTGGGCTACAGTCAAATCGCTGTCTAACCCGACGAGGCGCGATGACCGGGTGGAAATTTCATTCGATGATCGCACGTCGTCGGACCCGAAGAGATGCGCGAGCTATTTTAGCCTACTTCTCACACTGCATCCATCGGTAGACAAAGCGAAGCGACGGGTAACCCTCCGTCTGCTCAAACTGCCAAACATCAGCTCGGTGCTTCATTTCTCCTGGGAGGAGGTTCAGGGCGTCATCGGGAAGCCTGCAAATCCATCGGCCCCAACGGAATGACAATGCTGATGCAGAAACATTTCTCACGAGGGTCCTCAACTTGTCTTTGACCACCCTAATGGTACCTGTCGTATGGAAAACAGGCAGGGTGTTCCCGCTACTCAAAACGGGGAAACCAGCCAACAAACTTACCGGCCGATAACTCTCCTCTTCCCAGTAGCGAAGACACTTGAGTACCACAGCAGCACTAAACGCCATAAACACCCAGATAGTCCATGGCCTTAACCAAAACCGACCCTGCTCGCGAACTGTCCTGGTAGCATTGGACTTGTCAAGAGCTTTTGACACAGTCAATCACTCAGTGCTACTAACGGACATTGAGGAATGCTCATTACCGCCGGGGTTGCAGAGGTGGGTCATGGGTTACCTGAGTGGTCGACAATCATCGGTAATATTCCGAGGTGTAACATCTAAGCCCAGGAAAATTAAACAGGGGTTCCGCAGGGTGGTGTCCTCTCCCCGATACTGTTTAATTTCTACATCTCGAAACTCCCTCCACCATCAGAAAGAGTTTCCCTAACCTCTTATGCCGATTATTATACGATAATGGCGTCTGGACAGGATATTGACGACCTCTGTTCGAAAGTGAATTGCTACCTGGCCGATCTCTCCCACTTCTTCACTGCAAGACAGCTTAAAATACAACCGACCACATCCTCGGCTATCCTTTTCACCAGCTGGACGATGGTATACAGGCTTGAACTAGATGTAAAGATCCATGACACAAAAATTCCGACAGTAAATAACGCAAGGATATTGGGAGTAACACTAGACAGCCTGCACTTCTTCACTCCGCTTACAACCGCAATTGCCGCAATACTCCAGAGCCGCAACAAAATACTCAAAGCGCTAGGCGGCAGCACCTGGGGTAAAGACATAGAAAACTTGCTGACAACCTATAAAGCTATAGGCCGGCCGGTCGTAAACTACGCTGCACCGATCTGGGCAACGGGGACGAACAAGACGCCGATGAAGAAGCTACAGGTTCGTCAGAACACTGCATCAGGACCTCGACTGGAAAACTCCTGTTGTCGCCGGATTGCTGGATTGCTAGTTTGTGCCCTTTAAGTCTAGTAATCCCTTTCTGATGTGCTTAGGTGGAGGTTCAGCTTATAAATATTAGGTTCCTATTGGGGTGCGCCCTTCTGCTTGCACATCCAAGCGCCTATGCTTCGAGTTAAAGAGCATATTGCCTAATAGAAGCGGAACCTCCACCTAAGCTCATCAGAAAGGGAGTACTAGACATAAAGGGCACAAACTAGCAATATGTACAGCAACCGCTGATCAGGACGGCGTATAGACAGGCACTGAACCCCATTCACCAGGAGTCAGTCAACACCTTCAAGGACTCCCTTCCAGTGAATGGCGTATTTGGAGGAAAACCACCACCTATAGCAGACGACGAGCTCGAGCTGCCTCGAGAGACCCGAGTGACCCTGACACAACTCACGTCTGGATATTGTATCAGGTTAAACTCCTACTTATCCAGACTAGACCCCAGCATACCCAACGTATGCCCTGCATGTGGAGAGTCTCCGCACGACACTAACCACGTCTTCACATGCCCTCTCAAAACAACTCATCTAACCCCTCTCTCCCTCTGGTCCAACCCCGTCGAAACAGCTCGTTTCCTGAACCTCCCACTAGATGACCTCGGCGACTAAGTCTGATCAAACCTGTGCCTAAGCGGGGTTAGCGAACCGCTACAATACCTGTAGACCTAAACGGGGTTAGGTCTCCGAAAGGGTGACAGCCCTTGGCCGGATAAAATCCGGGTCAACTCCGGTGCGTAGAACCGGCTGTCGTGAGAGTCGACGGCTTATAGGTGTGTTTTATTGCATTAACGACTTATGCAAAGGGATCCTTATGGCGCCTACTTATATTTCTACGCTACAGATATTCAACCACAATCTCAGCAAAATTGGCGAGGGTATTATAGTTATCCTTTACAAAATATCTTTTTATTACACGCCACTGCGACTCAATTCTCTGAGTGTGAGTCGCATCCGACGCTACAAACGGATTCTCCAGATCGCTGTGGCTAACTTTCCGGTACACATACCGTTATCCGTAGGCTTTCCAACAATCTGTATGGATTGTTGTTCCCTCTACGACTTGCTTGCGGATTAGAGGGATAAGCACCTCTGCGGACCGAGCGTTATCCGGACAAACTTCAAGACGTATGTCCGCTGCCATCTTCCACCATGCCAAGGACCCAATGACCGTCAACCCTCCTCCCTGTAAAGTAATAAATGCATATTTAATAAGTAATTCTAAAAACATATAAAACATTTCGGTTGGTCGATTTGGACGATTTTCCCCGGACTACCAATTTTACCGACAAAATGCTGCAAATCAATTTCATATTATACAAAAGCCTCCCTACAGTAGTTATTCCAATCTGTTATGGTCACACTTGGGAATGAGGTTCCTTTAAAGGGTTTTTCAAGCCTTACGGCTGCTTGCGACCAATTGTAGACAAATCCATACATAATGTGAAAGAGTAGCGGCAGTGAAGTCTTGGCATTTACGAACCATGTATTGGTGGCCGGAAAATTCTTGCCTTTGTCCGGCAGCTGCCTTTGCTGCACCTAAATGTGCCTACTGTTTCATTGCCCGCATGTAACTTATG